ACGGGGTGACATCTCACTGGAGAGCCACCCCGGGCTGCTCCTCTCACGCTCCCGCTCACCTTCCAGCTGCGCCCCCTCCACCGGCGTGATGATGAATGTATAGGCCATAAAAGGATGTGACACCTGAAGTTTTCAAAAGTTTTTGTCCAAATTTGCCCATCCACCGAATCCAACCAGTTTTAAAACTAATATTATTTTATGATACAGGTGGCAACTGACTCTTGCTCTAAATGTCAGTGCCACTCTAAAGTTAAAGAAGTGTTTTTCTATGTCATCAGCCGCTCAGATAGAGCTGCACGATATTAGGACAGCATGCAACAAAACGTGATGGCATTTAAAGTTTGCGAAGATGAGGTATGATTTGCAGACTTTACTGGGTGTACCGTGTCTTTCATGCAGTTGCCAGAACTCTTTCTGCGTCCACATTTCCATCACTCCTCTCTCTACCATCAGCCATCAACTTGTGTCGACATAAGGGAGCATCCAGAAAATCAAGACGCCATTCGATTGGCCACTGACACACACAGAGCACGAATGCACTTCAGAAATTGGAAGAATGCCACTTCGCTACCTTAAAATATGCAAATATTGCAGTTCAGACTTATTGCACTTTCAGCAGTCTCTGCGATGTGTGTATCATGCAGGCTAATGTTGCCATGGAGATATTGTGTAAGCCTACTATCCACCAGAAATGAGTGATTAGTTAATAAAACTAGGTCTAAAAAGTCAGAGGTAAGGATTTCATTTAAGGCCACAAAGTAAAAAAAAAAAACAAGGTAACTGAGAAACACTGTCCAGGCAAAACTCCAACTGACAGATATCAGATCAGCTCACTGGGAAAAACAAAGTGAAGTTTATTTAATTTAGATTTTTTAACAATAACATTTACACATGTTTTGTCCTCGTTATTTCATAATTGTTTCAGCTGTTATTTTTTATGCTAAAAACAACAGTACAGAAACGGAGCATTTAAAACCTCTTATTCCTAAATTCTAGCACAATGCTACAAGCTTCTGGTTATATGTGTATTCCCCATAAAAACAGCAGTTAGACAGGCTATCTTCACACAGAAGAAAAGTTACATACACATATAGGCACCACTGAGCAATACTCAAACTTAATTTAAAAAAAGAGTTAACTGTCCTTGGTGCATTTAGTGCAGCAGACCTTTATAGACCTTTATAGCTGCTCGTTCAGTTTGATTTTACTTGGACAGCAAATCGCAAACAGATATTTGCACAGCTCTAAGCACAACAAAACACTAGCATCCATGCCTTCCACTATGAGGACAAATAGCGACTGCAGGAATCCAGCCTCTTCAGATTTGGTACAGCACACACAAGAAAAGAAATTAATCTCAAAAGCATGTAAATAAGCAGTGCCTCGTAGCTTCTATTGAGGTGCTGCATCTGGGTGTTTCTGTTAGCAAATAATACAGAGAGTTTACAGCAAAGCCCAGAATAGCTCGGGATGTGTGCAAGCACCCGTGAAGTGTAAAAAAATTGATTTACCGTCAGCAAGAAAGCCGATGTTTAACTTGAGGACTACTTATCATGAACAGATACATATAATGACACTTTTCAGAAAATCTAGCTATTTAATTATCTGTCAGTTCTTGTCTGGGGGCCCGCATGGTGATGAGTCAAAACACGCATCCAGTGGTGATATGTTTTTGTGTTTCCTCCTCTGCCTCTCAGTGGTGTCGGGGATATTTCTGGGACTTGACATGTATCAGAGATGCGGGGTGACGCCTCCGCCGCGGGCTAACGGGAAAGGACAGCAGCTGGTCACGCTTCTTTCGGGGGGGAGAGGCCCAGGAGAACGGCCTTGTTTGCCTCCGCTCTCTCGGCATTGTTTGTAGTTATCTACTGCTGTAAAATTCATGCTAAGCCCAGTCTTAGTCGCGGGCCTCTTCAGGGAGTCATGCTTTCAAACCGGTACCCTTCCCTCAACTGCTCGTGCTGCTCGTCCTTCGGGAAAAGGGATTCAGAAATCACTCTTTGTTTCTTGTAAAGGGGAGTTAGAACAACACCACTGTCTTGACATGACAAAAACAGCAACTAGATTCTCCCAGTTCCATTAGCAGTAGCATTCTGCTGGTTATTTAAACACTTAGCCCCCAGAAATGGAGGCTAAATGGGTTTTATGTTTACTAAAAATTGTGATGTCTAATAGAAAATCTTTCATTTTACATCCTGCTGTGCGTTTCTGTTCATTATCCAATGAGGGATCCATGCTAGCAAAGACAAAAGTTTGCCCAATCAATGCTTAGCTGACCCAGATGAGCAAACTGCTTTAGCTGCATCATTTTAAGATACCTATCATTCATATGCATAATAAGGAGAACATGTCATCTACAGAATTCAAACCCTGGTTCGGGTAGGGGGTATAAATAAGACAAAAAGATAAAAGAAAGAATTCTTACCCTTGATCGGGCAGGGGATAATAAAGCTATAGAGGGTACAGGAGGTGGAGACAGGACAACACACACTAGCAGACTCGGCAAACAAACTAATCTTAAGACTACAAATGCTAAATATGGACCTAAAAGGCCTTCTACAAATACTAAACAGACACACAGTTGTTAAAAATAACAGCAGAAACAAGCCAACTCATCTAAGGTAGCCATCTGGTTTCAAAAGCCAATTCTGACTTTTCCCTCTATTTTAATACTCCCTCTTCCTGGATGTCTTCCTCTTCTCTCTCAGGCCTGTCTAAGTGCCCTCCCAACTGGACCCCCAGCTACTGTTGCCACTCCTAGTCCAAATCCACTGACTGGACCTTACTGCCTCATTTGACACATCCTTCACCATTTCCCTTACACCGTTTCACACTTTGCAACAAATCCTCTACGTTCTACTTCCACTGGACGTATTTTAACTTTCCAACCTCTCAGCTCTGCTTCTGCCCATGATTCTACATATCTAAGCTTTTTACTCTCACGCACTTTTTCTACTTGGTCTTCTCAGAGAACAGTCAGCTCTATAAAATAGACTCTCTTTGTTTTCCTCAACCACAAAGCTACATATATCCAGCCTCAGACTTGTAGAGGTTATTTGCCAGGCAACAAACCTACCTGCATCTCTCAATCACAAGCATCCTCTAGGCTTCCCTGGCTTTTAAACCTTTCTCCCCTACTTTAAAATTGCCACACACTTTGCCTTAGACTTTCCTAGGTTAACCTTCCTTTGCCTGTATTCTCAATACTTGACTATGCCTCCATGTTTACTGGCCTTGTGACAGACTGACCTACAGCCTGACAAAACACGCCTCAGAGCATGAAGAGAGTTTCTTAGCATGAAAAACATTGTGGCTCTTCATTTAAGAATAGTTTGTTGTTTCCCCAATCCAAAAATCTAATCCTACTTTTCTCCATACTCCACATACCTGAGTTTTTTCTTCATAATTCAACCCCGGCTCCTGCTTAGAGCTACTGGCTACCCCTTGGCTTTTCCCCCTGCCTACAAACCTGCCCCACAACAAGCTTGCTCTTCTCTTTGAGACCTGCTCTACTCCAAACCGGTTTGCCTGGGCCAAGCCTCCAGCAGATAGTGGAATCTCATACAGACAGTGGCCACATCAACCTTGGAAAAATTCCACATTGTGGCAACCACAGCTTCCACTTTCCCGGAGGCCCTGCTTTATCTATTCCATCCAGCCCCTCTGCAAATGCTTTCTCAACTCCACTACCTGTTCTGTTGTTTAAGTCCTGGTACCACCTACCTAAACGCTTTAGTGCCTTTTTCCTGATTATTGGATTTTTTCTTTATATATTATAAACTTTCTATCCCTCTACTGATTGATTTTCTTCTACGTACTAAGCTTGATTTTCATGCCATCCCACTTGAGACTGTCTCTCCAGTATTCTCCTCATACATGGCACTGTTGGACTCACCGATGTCCTACCATCCATGTAGGCCCTAATTGGTGGAAAGCACATGCTATCCTGACGTCTTTCTCCACCTCCATCCCACTTACAAACTAACGATTGTTTCCAGTGCTATCGTAAATGCTAATTGACAAATCGTACACCCTGCTATATTTGCCTATTCCTGGCATCTGCCAACCCGTTATGAAACCAAAAAGATTTATAAAGCAGAAATTGATTCCAGAGCAAAAGCGCGAACTAATTTAATCAAGGAGAGGAATGCTTCACCCCCTTGGCATCTTAGGTTTGGCTTGTAGGGATTACAGAGCAAAAAAGCAACTTAACAAGGGTAAAATCTAATTTGTGGCTTCTGTGGTGTCAGGAGCTGTCACCTCCGTGCCCTCAGCAGTCAGCCGGCGTTGACGTGGTGTTCGGGGGTTTGGGATGGCGCTCTCAGCTCTAATCTGAGGTGCTGCTGTCGCTGGAGGAGTGACTGACAGGCGGGGGGGGGGGGGGGGGGGGGGGGGGGGGGGGGGCAGCTGTGATGGCTGCTGTCGGCTGGCTGGCAGCCTTATGATGAATTGCCTCTCCTGAATGATAGCGCTGTTACGGAGCCATACTGACGCCGGATTGTCCTGTCAGCGTCTCACCAGCAAAACGTTGAGAAAAGAAATAGATATTTATATATAAATAAATAAATAAGCTTGAAATGAAGCGCCTTGCAACTTGCCTCTACATCTTTTTATTTTTCATTAATGCTGCCACCTCTCATACATCTCCATATGCAACTTTATGGAACAGGAAGCTTGTGCCGAAATATGGAGGAGGAAATTGCCTTGTAGAGCCACAAATGGGTCCAAACTTTTGATTGATTGAAAGCTGGTTTTTTTGTGTCCTTTTCTTCCGACTTTATTTTTTTTTAACTTTAGTTTCAAACAATATGTAGCTGTGAATGATAAACACCTACATTGTGTCTGCATCCATTAGATATAATTGCAATATGATAAAGGCGTTTTTTAGCTTGTATAAACATGAAAGATATCTTGTTGATTTTTGCGGTATGTTACACATCGAATGTGCAATTTATCTGCTAACAAGCTGATAATAATCTCCCTTTTCTGTCTGTTTACAGCTCAGATGACTACTATGAATACGGACTCAGTGGGGAATCTTACGACTCCTACGGTGAGTTGCAGACCTCTCTTCCTCCAGTTTTTACGGTGTCACTGACTCCGCCGTGTTTTATCTCAGTTGCCATAGCACCTTCATAATTGAGAGCTGTTTTCTAAACATGCAGCATGAGCGTGTTTAAGAGCCATTTGTCGCAAATGAGAACCTCTCCTCTTCATTTAGGTTAATAGGTGGAAGCAGTGCCTCCTGGAAATTGAAAATGATTACAAGAGTAGACCTCGACACTTACCCAATCTGCAGAAACTGAAACTTAACATGTAGATATTTTCCTGAATTTATACCATTTCTGAACTCCTTAATAAAAATATAAAAGTATTTCACTTTGGATGTTGGAAAATGTGTATGTTTAGGCATCCTCAGGAGAAGTTTTACTGAATGTCCTGCATATACTGTATGTTTAAACTTTTCATTTTAAGCTTTCTAAATATAAATTTTTATAACAAGTCATGACTGAGATTAAACACATTTCAATTTGATTATAAGTGACCGGGCTTATTAAAGCTGAATCCCATTACCACATTATCTCTATCTTTCAAAACAAAAGAAGCTGTTAAAAATGTGAAATTCAGACACAAAATCCCACTCCAAACTTTAGTTAGCTTAATATTTCTTTACCTAAATAAAACACATTTCTGTCGTAAAATGCTGAGGTGGACAATCCACATGTAAGCTCATGAGCAGAATACAAATTGATGGCAAACAGTGAAGACAAGGATCTGGCTCTGAATGAAGGAAGTGTTTAATGAGGGAGCTGATAACTAACTAAAAGCAGGGGGTGAGCCGGTGTGAAGGGAAAGCACATGAGGACACCCCCAAAGAGCTGAATAAACTTTAACAGACGGAGAAACCGGGATCTGAATGCTTTCTAAATGCAGATGACCCGCAGCTAACAGTGAACCATTGCAATTTTCTCTTTGCAATGAAAATCTGTTCAAACGGGGCCGCTTTCCGATTAGGACATTCCGAATTCCTGCCCTCAGTTTAGGAGCACTTTATCAGGTCTGTGTGGAAGAATGGATAAGTCCAACTGTCCAATTACAGCACAGTTCCGGTAACACCGCTGAAACAGTGTTCAACAAACCACCGTCGGCTTTAGACAGAAGAAGTGCAAGAAATGGGCCAAGGTCAGATTTTCTGTAGAGCTTCTGGTCTGATCACGGTGCTGCACCACTGGACTCCTGCTGAAGGCCCATTCATTTTTTATAACGTGTTGTATGTGTGGCCTCTGTGTGAACTTGACTTATTCAGAGTACGGTTTTGGCACATGCAGTTCAGTTCTCTAAAATGATCACAATGAGGGTGCAAAGGGTAGAATCCGATGTTGCCTCTTCAGCTGAATTCAGTTCTCCAGTTGGATTCTGTTTTAGCGTAATGTATTATTCATAACACAAGAATGGGAGAAAAATAAATGAATAAAGTGACTGACTACAAACAGATGCCGAGGCGGAGCTGAGGTGGGGGGGGTGTTTCAGTGTCATGCACATGTTTGTCAGCATAATTACGCAGGATCTACACAGCCAAATTTAGTAAAAGGTAGTGAATAGGTGGAGTTAGGGTAAAGAAAGAATCTATTAATTGTTGTTATTGGAGAGCAACTAATTGGATTGAACTGGCTTATAATTGGATGGCACTGGACTGTGTCAAATTAGACTTGTATTGACCTTTCCCAGAAAAGTGCCCTTATATAACTTTTTGGTGGATCGGGTTTATATAATTAAAGTGAACTCAACTGAAATGAATGAATTATTGTTGTTGTCGTGACTTTGTTATACAATAAATTAGTTGGATATATAATTTATTCTTTAAGTGTTCACCTGTTAGTTTCCTGTGACATTAGTTTTAATGCATTCATAAGAATCAAAGTCAGTAATAAAATTATTAAAATGTTTATTTTTTTGTTTTCTAAAGTGTATTATAAAAAGAGTAGAAAGAAAGTTGGGTATTATATTCTCCCTCATGGCCTGTATCATACATTTCTATATAAAAAAAAGAGGTATCTGTAAAATATCCCCATGGTCCTGAGTACTATGTGGTTGAGGGGGGTAACTAGTAGGGTCTCCCATGGTTAACTCATTTCATGGGAGAGATCAGGCTAAGGGTGATTCAAGGACCTACCTGGAGTGCCACAAGTGTAGAAGAGCCAATTTACCAGGGAAGGGATAGCACCCACTTTTTGATTCCAGTGGCCCAGCATTGGGTCCTGGGGCTCGTCCATGCACAGCCCAAAGGAACCGCTTTCCCATGGACTCATGGGGACAAAAACTAAGGTTACTGTAAGGAGAAAGCCTGAGCTGGTGTGTGAGGTAGAGATAATTAGCCACATAAGCCAGAGCACCAAACTCCTGGAAAGAATATGGACTCTGAAAAATTCAAATGGCAGGAGGTAAAGTTTTGACAGTTCCGATTACCTGGGATTACCTCGTTTTCCTGGACCGTATAGGTCAAGGATTTGCAAATCTGGGCCTAAATGGCTGCTGTCCTGTAGATTTGAGATGTTTCTTCACAGCAAACTAGGTTTCGATTGAATTTCTCTTCAGAAGGTTGTTAAGTTCTGCACAAGCCTTCTGACAGCTAACGGCTGCTTCTCAGATCCCTGCAGTACTGTTCTTCTGGTAGACCTCATCACCAGTGTGGCCATGATGTAGTGATCTGGAGAGGTGTAAACGGGAGCAACATTTCCCCTGATATGATCCCAGGTGCTGTTTGAAATTTTATTGATAACCTGTGCCATACACAGACTGTCAATTATGTTTGAGAACAGGGCGGTTCATACGTGTTGGTAAGTGGTGCCAAGGCCAGAGGTCAGGTATTGATGTCGTAGTTGTGTTATCACTTGGGTGATGAACGTTGCTAAGACCTGGTGGTGAGTTGGATGTGTTGGTGGGGAAACCTGCCAGACAGAGCTGGTTAACCGAAACAGTTTGCGAGAGGAAACTGGCAGGAACTAAGTGTCCAAAAAGGTTGCAGTGTTAGTGATAGCTGAAGCTAAAACTCAGGGAAGTTAAAAGAGTTCAAAGAGAATGACTTTCAATTGACCAACAAAGAGGGTCCCCTAGGTCAGTCCCAGAATTTATTGAGTCTGCGACTCGGCCTCAAGTAGCTTTAAGACGATGGATGGAGGTACACAAATTCGACAATTTGCTTTCCCTTTATTTTTCCACCATGTTACAATTTTTTTATACAGTTTTCTAAAGTGAATCATCGTCAGCAGAATACAAATTACAACTTATGTTGTAAAGTGCTATTTTTAAGGTAATTCCCAAAACAATATTGCCTAAAAACTTTGCATATAGCAGCTGATATGAAGTATCTCCTTAAAGATTATGACACTGAACAAGTGGAGGACAAAAGAGGAGCTTTCATACTTAAAATCCCAAAGTGATTTCCTTCAAAATTGGAAAATAATCCAACAAAGACCTGACAAAGGACATAAAATAAGCATTTGGGCCTTCACTTGATCCTTCTCCTGTTCACCGAAGCCTCATCAGAAACGGTCCTAATGGAAGGGTCACTGTCAATAAGCCTTCCTTAAAGAAGGAAACAGGGGAAAAAGGTCAGGGTATGCCAGATGACCGAAGACAATAATAAGTGGAAACAAGTCTGATGGAGGAATGTATCCTCCTGAGAGCCCACACCTCAACATTGTTGAGGCACTTTGGAATCATCTTGACAGAGAACTGAACAAAAAGGCAGCTAACGTCCTAAGAGCTTTGGAATGGCCTTCAAGAAGCCTGGAGAACTATCACAGAAAGCTACTTTTAAATAAAGACAGGAAAGGTTGTCTACAGGGTTTTGGACTGCTTTAGACTATAAAGGTGTTCACACTAAATGGTCTTTCAAGCTTGTTAGAATTGTCTAGTCTTTTTCTTTCCTTTATTATGATCACACTTCAGTAAAACACTGCAATTATTCCCCGTATTCCTGATTATATTTTTAAAAAAGGGTATGGTTCATAATGGTTCTTTTTTTTTCGTAGTCTTTTTTTTTTTTTTAATGAAGGTCGTTGAAATAAGTAAAACCCTTTAAAAACTTTTCCAACTTTCCTGACCACACAGTGGAGCATCCTCAGCTCATTAGAGAGCTCTGGACCCACGCAAAAGACATAAAGCAGCGGTGGTGATAATAATGCTGCGTGGGTCACGCAGAAGAGACGCGACAGCTCAAAGGAAACAGATAAACAGCGCTGATGTTCCTGATGTTCTCAAGGCACAAGGTTACCTTGGTGTGTTTCTTCAAAGTGACTGTCAGTGGAAGGGTGACAGGTTTAATTAAAGGGTATTGGCTATGTGCTGCCAACAGAGAGCCTGTACCCAGAAAAGAAAAAGGGAAAGAAAAAAGCTTTGTGAGCCGTAGCTCTGGGGAAGTCTCAGCGTTGGCTGGAGATCAGACAAAGGGGGCCGTCAATAGTGGCACTTTCACATTGATAGTAGCAGGGGGCAAACAGCCCTGATTTGGGCTAATGGTAATTGTGACCTTTTTGCTAGGAGCCACTAAACGGGTCCTTTTCAAGTAGCTATTTGATCTTCTCATTCAATTATCTGAGATGAATCCTTCCAGGTGAAAGTCAAGCTTCATGGCATGAGCCGCCATTTGTATTTTCAGCTCAGAAGGGGGCTTTTGTTTTTTGAAGCAAAGTCGATACCAGACCACTCCCAAGTGTCTTCTTTCTTTTTGCATCAGAGGGAATATTTACTTTACTTAGGAACTCCAAAGACTTTCAAGTATTCTTACAAGTAAAGGGTTGAAGTGTGGCATTGTAATAATCACTCCCCATCTGTTTTTTTTTTCTTTCTTCTTAATCAGGTCAGGAGGAGTGGGCAAACAACCGTGGCAAGGCTCCTACAGCACGAACAACCAAGGGAGTGTTCAGAGATCAGCCGTACTCCAGATACTGAACTATTTATACGACCAGCACCCGAGTCCTCATGGCCGTTTCAACCCAAGTAATGGATTTTTTATGGACGTTCCCACCTTTGTAGAATCAAAAACTAAACTGCAACATTATTTTCAATCGTGGATTCCCCCATTATCAAAAACATAGTCCCAGTGGTAAAAAAAACAAACATGTAAAGAAATTTTAGTAATCTCCCCATATCTCTGGGGGAGTTGGCTTAGCGTCGAGATAGCTTAATAAGTTTCCCTCTCAGCTATGTGAATGTGGAAAATGGCATTGTATCAGGCAATTTTCCGTAATTATTCCTGTACGCCGCGGTCCAAGACAACCGGCGCAGCTTTATTTATCACCCTCTACTCTTTAGACCTCGGCCTCTGAAATGTAGTAGCCTAGTTCTAGGAAGGTTCCTAACTGTAGATATCTTTTTCTGAAGGGTAATTGGTGAAAGTCGTGTCCCCTTGTAAATTAAACATTTGCAAACTCAAAAACAAACAAAAAAAGAGAGAGAGAGAAGAGTCATTGTATCGCTGTTTCCTCCCTTTTTGTAAAATAATAGTTTGTTAGTGTTAAAGGGCTTATAAAAGCATGGTGTGCAACTGTGAATATTGCCAGCTGTTTAACTCTAAAAAGCCTGTGTAGTTGTGTTCATCCCTCATACCCCCAAATGCATCAAGTACTAGCTGCACAAGCTTTATTTAAGAGCAGCCGAACGGTTTGGAGTTTTTAATATCTGTGTTTTTTTTCTATTTATTTATCTTTTCATGAGATGCTCTCAATAAGTAATTTTGATGTCTTTTTGTAATTTCAAACGAGTACCTGTCCAATCTTGTCAGCTCAGTCCTTTTTAAGTTTTAACGTCCTGAATCATCTATCCGTTTGGAGGTTTGTTCAACTATATTCATTTTAAGCTTATGTAAGCCCTTTAATATTTTCCTTCTTTGTTGATGCCGAATAAATGTTTTGGAAAAAACAAAAATAACAAACCTTGTGTTGAAGAGAATACTTGGGTCTCCTTAAAAAGATTTATAATTTAAACTAACATAGCCAAATGAAAATGCTTGACACATGGGGAATATTTAAGAGCCTGTAACACGTTAGAGTAACAATCATGATGCTGGGGAAGAAAAAAATGCTAAAAACAAAACACACCACATTGGAAATTGGACATTCTGGGTGGAAACGAAAGTTGGTGTGAACAAAAAAAAGGTATACTCGGACGGCAAAAGCTCCAGTGACGGCTGTGACCTTGCAGAAGGCCTCGGCCGCCTGATAAGAGTCCTCCCTTATTTACTTTCGAGCGTGATGCTTTTTCATGAGACGTCTCTTCAGTTGAGGTTTAGGGGATTTAGCGATAACCACATCGCCACTCTTGAAATTCTATCCGCTCTGTTTGCTCTTATAATTCGATGTTTACGTCAAGCATCGTAAGCAAACACGCCATAAATTGTTGAGTGTTTACCCCGGCAGAAACCCCCCCCCCCCACCTCCCACTGATCTCCGCCGGGGGCCACGTTGAGTCCAATACGGAGGCTGAGTGGGCGTGAGATGAGAATTTAGGGGGGCTGGTGGGAGAGGAGGATGGGGGAGGGGGGGGTGGGGGTGGGAGGGGTCTCTTTCTCTTCTTGTCTTTGCTCTTTCTGTTCTCCGGTCATGTGACCCTCTCCCAGTCGTTTAAAGAGCCTGCCCTCGCCCCGCCCGTTAAATTGACCCCCAGCAGAGAGAGGACGGCAGTAGCTGTTTAAAAAGACCTCCGTCCCACCAGGTAAACACCCAAACCCAGTTTAACCTCACCCCTAACCTAGCTGCTCATAAACCCTCTCTAAACGGCAGTGTAATATGTTTTTCTGTCTCTGTGAGTCCGTGCTCCACAAAGCTAGAAATAATTAGACGCCTGTAAAAAAAGTTATTGTTAAAAAAATGATAAATAGCCGTAATATTTAAACAAAATGTGTTATGAAATCATTTTAATCCAAGTCATCGATAAAAAATGTTCCCATTGTTAAAAGAATTTGCAGAGAATGTTTGATTGTTTGACTGGTTTGACTAAGTTTGCTTCATGCTGAGAAGGTGAAAGCTCATAGCTGTGTTGTTTTTATTCTTCTTTAGGTCCAGAGTCCCGGCTGTGCGGGGCCACCCGTCCGGTTATGTCATCACTGCTAACGGTAGGTACTTTAACGCTGAATGTATGCTGTGTAGGGATGCAAATTATCGATTAATTCATTAATCGTTAGTTGATTATCTTATCGATCGACTTTCGATTAATTGATAAGCAGCGTTTTTCACCTGAGTTTCAGGGCTTCAATAGGGCCTTAATATAATTGAGGTATTATATTTCACTAGCCAACATTATGATACCATAATTATATTGTATTATATTATACATTCCTCAAGTAATTATGCATTAGGAGAAGAAAGCAGACACGTTTTTAAGGTAAAACAAAATCTTTAATTAAAA